GCTGATTACTCTTTCCGGTTCCTGTTCATTATTCATGTTTCTGTTCCTAATTTTTCCACACTCAGTAATCTCCTGTGTCTTAGTGGCTTTACACCCTTGCATGGAATCATACCGATAAAAAATATAAGCATAAACTTACTCCAAGCTGCACCGTGAGTGTCAGATTTTCTAAGCCCCCTTTTCTCATTATATGCGCTAGAAGCTTCAACTGTCTCTTCCTGATGTCAAGTATCAATTTATTTTTCGCTCAAATTTTCTCCAAAATTTCGTCGTTATTCACATGTTCAGTCCACGATATCCTCAGCATCCTTCTGTAGAACCGCATTTCTGCTTCTTTATGTCTCCTCTTGATCTTTGAGGGGTGATTAGCACAGGAAATTCCATAAAATAAAGCTGTGAACAAAGAAATTATTCGAAAATAATAATGCAAGTAATCGATAATAAAATTCCTTATATAATTTCACTCAAAGCAAAGCAATAAAGCTACTAATATGCAAGGGCTTACTGAGTATTAAAAGAGCATAAGAAAAAAAACTATTAAGGAGAGAGAACGATAAAAGAACGAGATTTAAGAAGACAGGAGATAACGATTGAAATTACATTTGAATTTTCGAAGATCAAAGTTGACTTTGAAACAAGAAGCCAGAAGAGATTTCCACAAGAGAGAAAAGCGATAGAAGAAACTGTTAGCATAGAACTTACGGTTACATCTCGCCATTGCAACAGTGAAATAATGAGGCCTTGCTGCCAATCTAGTATTACGTTTAAATTAATAAAGTCTAGGTAAAATAAAAGAAATCTCATTAAAACAATCACCATGAAAGTATTTAAAGAAAAGGCCCAGAGAAGCTACATTACGGCACTAGGAAAATGACTGAAAGCGAGATAACAGAGCAGGACCAACAACATTTTAGATTCTTCTTTATATATATATATATATATATATATATATATATATATATATATATATATATATATAGTTGTATATTTAGGCAGCAATCCTTCCTTTATGCATGTTTCATTAAAAACGACAGACAGGGTACTACGGTTAAGATTTTTATTTAATTTTTCTTGTGTTCGAACAAGAGCTTTCTTTTCTGGACAAAGGGTGTGTAAGAACTGTCCAAATGTTTTCTATTTCCAAGCGCTTTCGGCTATACCTTTAGCCATTATAAAGGAAGATTCGATTTTTCAGCTTAATTGAGTGTGTGCGTTATGCGTATGTATTAGTGCGTGGTAGGGATGTTTTTAATTTCCGAATATGGTTAGCACATTGTGGCCTTGTTCGTAGTTAATATTGTTAAGACAAAAGCATTATATCAAAAATTACGAAACTATGTGCAACACATACCAGTAATACAGAGATCTAGAGAAAAAAAAATTAGAATAATTTGGAACTTATACTGGATGCAATTCACAAGACGCTTGGCACGCGAGAGAGAAGTTTCAGCTATGACAGCCCAAAGAAATACCAGTGATTGAATGTGTAAGCAACGAGGCGATTTTAAGGAAAATGAAAAGAAAATAGCTCACTTCTCATTAGAATCAGGAATAGAGAGTTGAAATTTCTTGGACATCTCTTGAATCTCCAGACCATTCGTATATGTCTCCGGCTATCTCTTCTTAAGCTTCAAGCTACCTCTTCTTCCATTATCTCTCTCCATCCTCCCAAGACTGTGATGTATTCGAATGCATTTCTGACGGCATTGACAAGGGTCTCTCTCTCTCGCTCTCTCCATCCGTTTGCTCGCATATTCATGTTCGGTGATTTTAACGCCCATCATACCAAGTCGCTTAAGAACACTACTACTGACCTTACAGACATACAAACCCTTAATTTTTCAATTTCTCAATACCTCACGTAAACAGTTGAATTCCCCCTCGCGTTTTTCCTATAACCTGGGCGGTAAGGCTTCTCTTCTCGATCTATGTTTTACCTCCAACCCCGAGTCCTGTAACGCCACACAGCTCTGCCCTCTTGACAACTCCGATCATGCTGTAGTGTCTGTCAACGTCTCCTTCAACTCAACCCCGTTTAAAGAACCTCCCACCACTAGAACATCGTTCTGCTATCAACGAGCAGACTGGGACAGATTTCCTTCGCTATGTCCCCTGGGGCGTTGTCTTGATGCTCCCCGTTCAAGAATGTGGTCTCCTCCTAGGTTAAAGCTGGAATCGAGGCTTTCATCCCCTCAAAGAAATATAAGGTCAAACTGCGCTCCTCCCCTTGGTTCTCCGCTGCTTGCTCAGCTGCCATTGCTCATAGAAATCACTTCATCCACCTATATCATAGCGACATGACTGATTGCAATAGACGCCTCTTTGTCTCTGCCCGTAACGTGTGTAAGCGTGTCCTCAATGAAGCAAAGTCAATATTTGCTGCTCGAAAGAACGTATAGCATCTCGCAAATTAGGCTCCAAGGATTATTGGCATCTCTGCAAGAACGTACTTAACAGTAGCAAACCATTTATACCTCCTTTGCTCAACCAATTTGAGGTTTTGACCTCTTCTACCGACAAGGCTAAATGCTTTGCTCGGAAATTCTCATTCAATTCACAGCTGAGGCTCAATTGAGCGAGCTGCACATAACCCCGTCATCGGTATTGGGTATCATCTCTAAATTCGACCCCCAAAGGCTAGTAGTGGAGACGGGATATCAGCGATTGTCCTGAGAAAATGTGCGCCTGAACTGGCCCCTGCCCTCTTCAAATTATATTACTACTGCCTCAAAGAATCTTCTTTTCCAGCCTGTTGGAAGTCCTCATCGATTGTTCCTGTCTTTAAGAACCCTAGAGACCCTTCTAATTACCGACCTATCAGTCTCTTATCACTCTTCGACAAAGTCTTTGACGCTTTAATCAACGCCGAAGTGGTTATGCACCTTACATCCCATGATCTGCTCTCTGACAAGCAATATGGTTTCCGCTTTGCCCGCTCTACAGCTGATGTGCTAATGGCAATAACTGAAATTGTTTACCAAGCACTTCATGATAACGGAGAAGCTCGTGCCGTGGCTCTTGATATTTCCAAAGCGTTTGATAGGGTTTGACATGTCGGCCTTCTTTACAAGCTTCAGGGTTATGGAATTTCAGGTCGATAGTTCGACTTAATACAATCATTCCTGTCAAACCGTGCATTGAAAGTCGTTCTCAACGGATTCTCCTCCAGATCCTATCCCACGAACGCAGGTGTGCCACAAGGCTCTATCCTAGGCCCTACTCTGTTCCTTATCTTCATTAACGATCTTCCTGATGTCATAGGTTCACAAGTAGGCATCTATGCGGACGACACTACCATTTACTCCTGCCTCAGAAACAAATCTAGTGTCGTCGACAAAACTGACCTGACAGTTTATCTCGAAAAGGACCTCCAGTCGGTTGTGGACTGGGGCAGGAATTGGCTGGTTAACTTTAATGCCACAAAACCAAAACTGGTCTCTATTACTCACCAGAGAGAACCATCCTTGCCTCTCATTAGAATATCTGATACTCAACTCCACGAGAGCTCGGTCTCACATTGTCTGCTGACCTGAGATGGAACGAATACATTGAGTCAATAGCTTCGTCCACCGCAAGGAAAGTTGGCTCCCTGTGCCGCGTCAGGAAATTTTTCTCGCCGGTGTCAATCCTTCAAATCTACAAATCAACCATTCGCCCTTGCATGGAGTATGGCTGCCATATATAGTCTGGAGCCCCTTCTGTTTGCCTAGGGGTACTTGATAAGATTCAGATTCGGATATGCAATGTAATTGGCCCTAATCTGGCATCCCGTCTGCACTTGCTCTCTCACAGACGTGCCGTTGCCTCCCTCTGTCTTTTTTACAAATACTTTCATGGTAACTGCTCCGATGAGCTGCTTTCGCTGGTTCCCAGACTTCATGAATTTAAGCGCTCAACTAGTCTGGCATCTTGCTCTCACCCATTCACTCTCGAAACTGTTAAATGTAGCCGTTTCTTCTACTCCTATAGCTTCACGTCTCGCACTGAAACGAATGTTAACTATCATGCTAGCATGCAAAAAAAAAAAAAAAAAAATCGATAGCTGCATTCGTCACAAGTGGGAAAAATTTAAATCTGCATGGCACTTTACTCCAATTGGATCATTCGCTTGCTTAAACTCAACGTTGATTCTGATTCCGCAGAACTGGGTTGGATGTGAAAAAGTATTTGTTGTTAACATTCTTTTTTCATTCGGTTTTTCCAGTTACGAGTCCTTTTTTAAAGCTGATCGTTTTGTGTTCATTTTGTTTAGTTCTTTTTTCGTAACAGATTTCATGTTTAGTATAGAGCTTAGAAAAAATTCGCAGTGTGATATAGGCAAGAAGTAAGGCATGTAGCAACATCAGCACGGCGAAGGGCACTCCTTTAAAGGCAAGGAAGGGCAAAAATATTTTAAGTCAAGTGATAGCGATTGCTGTATGCGTCGTACGATTTTTGAATCAAACACGGGCAACGCCGGGCCATGCTGCTAGCGCGTTATATAACTTGGAAAGAAAATTTGACATTGACATAACATAGTGAATGCAAAACGGAAGGCGACTAACCTATCTAACAAATATGGAACTTGTGTAAATGGATAACAAAACAGGGACTGCGAGGGTGAGTAAAAAGACAAGTAATGATAAAAGCAACGTAGATAGCCCTATCGCCCGGATCAAACAGCTAACCAGTGTTTTAAACAGGAGTGGAGGTTTATCCTTGTTTCTTCTCCTAAATTCTATTCATACTCTTTCATTCTGTATAGCACCTTGCGTCTTCGTGGTATTATCGCCTTTCTGGGGGTGAAATGATTTTCAAAAAAGAAAAGAAAGAAAGGAATAGTCAGTTCTGGTTAGCGAGCCAAATAGCCGACGCCCCGAAGGGACACGCCACGTAGAAGATTGCAGTACGTGCCTTACAGAAAACATTTACAGCGAAAGCTAATAATTTGCATATATATATATATATATATATATATATATATATATCCCAAATTTTTCATAGTGATATTTATCATGGAGGGAAATAATTTTAATTCATATCTATCTATCTATCTATCTATCTATCTATCTATCTATCTATCTATCTCAATATATTCATATCTATCTATCTATCTATCTATCTATCTATCTATCTATCTATCTATCTATCTATGTTAATATGTTCCAATCTATCTACATATCTATCTATTTATCTAACCTATTCTGATTCATCCATTCTTCCTTCCACCTGCCCTTCCTTCCTTCCTTCCTAAATGCATTCTTTCTTTCTTTCTTTCTTTCTTTCATTCATTAATTCTTTCTTTTTTTCTTTTATTCATTCATTCATTCATTCTTTCTTTCTTTCTTTCTTTCTTTCTTTCTGTGAGATAATACAATGTATAAATTCTGTATATTAGACAAATGCTGAGTAATTGAATTAAATTATCTCTGGCGTTTCATCTATCGAAAAAGCTTCTTCGGACTAAATTCAGCTGCCCACTTTTACATTGTTGATAAAGCTAGAACCTCATTCCCTAATGTAGCAGCCATGTCAGCATTAATGTCCTTGGTGGGTAAACGCAATTTCTGCGGGTGCTTGTTAAAATCATGATGCCCAATTTGGTCCATTTTCAAGAGACGTCGCTACTAGTTACTTTTGAAGCCTTCTTTGAACAGTCAGATATCAGTTTACCTGGAAGGAAACAATGAAGATATTAATAAGAAAAATTTAAATTAATGTATTCAAGATTAAACAGCTCTGGTCCGAGGGCTTTATGGTCAGCCTATTAGGTTTACAGCCCACCCAAATATATATATTCAAATATTTCTCTTCCTCTCCTTCTATTTCACCACTTTCTCTTTAAATACCTCTCATTCTCACTGTGCCTCTCTGTTTGTCTCTCTCTCTCTCTCTCTCTATATATATATATATATATATATATATATATATATTTAATCTATCTATCTATCTATCTATCTATCTATCTATCTATCTATCTATCTATCTATCTGCGTGTATTCATTATCTATCTGCGCGTATTCATAATCTATCTATCTATCTATCTATCTATCTATCTATCTATCTATCTATCTGCGTGTATTCATTATCTATCTATCTATCTATCTATCTATCTATCTATCTATCTATCTTCGCGTATGCATTATCTATCTATCCATCTATCTATCTATCTATCCATCCATCTATCTATCTATCTATCTATCTATCTATCTGTGTGTATCATATCATATCTATCCATCTATCTATCTATCTATCTATCTATCTATCTATCCATCTATCTATCTATCTATCTGCGCGTATTCATTATCTATCTATCTATCCATCTATCCATCCATCTATCTATGTATGCATTATCTATCTATCTATCTATCCATCTATCTATCCATCTATCTATCTATCGTATTCATTATCTATCTATCTATCCATCCATCTATCTATCTATCCATCCATCCTATCCATCTGTGTGTATGCGTATCTATCTATCTATCCATCTATCTATCTATCTATCTATCTATCTATCTATCTGCTATTGCATTCATTATCTATCTATCTATCTATCTGCGCGTATTCATTATCTATCTATCTATCTATCTATCTATCTATCTATCTATCTATCTATCTATCTATCTATCTATCTATGTGTATGCATTATCTATCTATCTATCTATCTATCTATCTATCTGCGCGTATTCATTATCTATCTATCTATCTATCTATCTATCTATCTGTGTGTATGCATTATCTATCTATCTATCTATCTATCTATCTATCTATCTATCTATCTATCTATTTATCTGCGCGTATTTATTATCTATCTATCTATCTATCTGCGTGCATTCATTATCTATCTATCTATCTATCTGTGCGTATTCATTATCTATCTATCTATCTATCTATCTATCTATCTATCTATCTATCTATCTATGTGTATGCATTATCTATCTATCTATCTATCTATCTATCTATCTATCTATCTATCTACGCGTATTCATTATCTATCTATCTATCTATCTATCTATCTATCTATCTATCTATCTATCTATCTATCCCAATATGTTAATGTCTCTCTAATCTCCTATCAGTCACTATTTTCCATCAAACTTATTGCGTTTATGTGAGTCCATCTACGTGTCTTCATTTTTTTTTTCAATCTATTTCTACGTGTCATCTCTCTTATCTCTTGCCGACACTGCTATTCCTGCTCGATTTGATCTCGTCTAACTCTTCCCACATCATCACATCTCGCAACACGCTTGTTGCACCCATCCATCTATGCATTAATGGTATTAAAAGCGCCATTAACGGGCTTCTTAGTGTTAGATCGTGACAATCAAGCTAAACCAAGGATGATTTTTGAAATAACTTGAGACTTAAGATTAAGACTCTTTTTTATCCCTGAGAGCTTGGCAAGTTTTATCTTAAGAAATCCGATAATGCATATACGTACGTGTACCGTTGCGTGTGTGGATAGAGGTATTTTGTGTTATTAACCGACAGTATATTTTCCTTACTCGGAGACAAAAGTGTCGAAATCTCAGTGAGGAACTATCTCATTACACTGTAGTAATAATACTCGAGACAATTAATATGCATAGAATACTTCGGCAAAGTGATACTATCTATCTATCTATCTATCTATCTATCTTATATTATATTATATTTAGTACACTTAGGTAAAATTATATTATGTAATATCTAACTATCTTATTATTATTATATTTAGTACACTTCGCTAAAGTTATATAATGTCTATCTATCTATCTATCTATCTAATATTATATTATATTTAGTACACTTAGGTAAACTAATATTATGTAATGTCTCTCTGTCTTATTATTATATTTAGTACACTTCGGTAAAATTATATAATGTCTATCTATCTATCTATCTATCTATCTATCTATCTATCTTATATTTAGTACACTTAGGTAAAATTATATTATGTAATATCTATCTTATTATTATTATATTTAATACATTTCGGTAAAGTTATATAATATCTATCTTATTATTTTTATTGTTATTATTATTATTATTATATTTATTACACTTCGGTAAAGTTATATTATCTATCTATCTATCTATCTATCTATCTATCTATCTTATTATTATTATATGTACTACACTTCGGTAAAGTTATATTAAGTAATATCTATCTATCTATCTATCTATCTATCTATCTATCTATCTATCTATCTAAAGTTCTCAAGATTGTGGCACCCAATGATGATCAATCTCATTACATTGTAGCAGTAATACACTTGATAATTAATATACAATTGTAATATGACATTAGGTAAGTATGATAACTATTAGTCTTCTCTAAATTGGCAAAGTTCACTTGAGAATCATATGTCTGCTATCAATTTAGAAAAAAAATTACTGTCCTATTAGCGATCCCTAAATCAAAATCATAAAGCAGGCCCCCAAATCTATATTATTTCATAATGGGTATCTGTGGACTAAAAGAAATGACACAGAATTTAACATTGCTATCGTGAAATTTTATTCTGCGGAGGTATGCGAAATTGTTGGAATCTTGTCATTGTGACGATTGTGGCTCAAAATGCGATTTACAGGTTGGAGACACAAAAATCAAGCAGGTGCGGAATTTTAAATATCTGGGAAGTGTTTCTGATAAAGGACGTTACATGCGACACTGAGATCCGAAGACGTATTGGGATGGCCAAAGACGACTTCCAAAAGCTTGGCAGAATATTACGAGACACCAGGATTTCGTTGCTAACAAAGAAAAGAGTAGTGATCTGCTACGTGATATCTGTCCTCCTTTACGGCAGCGAATCTTAGACGGTCTCCTCAAAGATGAAGAAGAGACTCGAGGCATACGTAGGTATGTGAGCAACGATTAAATTTTAGAGAGGGTGCAAATAAGGAGGAAGTTTATAATTAACATCAAGAAGAAGCAGCTGACATTTCTGGGACACGGAATGAGCAAAGAGGGCTTGGAGAGTCTGATACTCAAAGGGCGGTTAGAGGGAAAGAGAAACATGGTGTGACACACCTAGCAAGTGGATTGCAGAACAGGGTTTGGAAGAAGTAGCAAAAGGTCAAAACTTATTGAGAACTACAAGGAATAGGAGGACGTGGAGAGCCATGATCGCCTACGTCCTGAAGGGATACGGCACGTAAAAGAAGAATGTTAAGATCAACTATATTTGCTTTAATAACAATGATAAATCAATATCCCAACATAACAATATTATATTAAACAAATATATTTTCAGCAAATACAACAAATTTGATTTTAAAAAGATAAATGCAACTGCTGAAAAGATACCATCTGTCACTTAATCGACAACTGTATGACTTGTAATGTTATATACCGAACTAACATACATTCCGGTAAAGATGTCAAATTTTATTTTGGTTCCACTGAAAATCCCTGGGAATTTCGTTTCTACTGTCATCGATTGACTTTAGGCAATGTAAAATACATAAACAATACTGCTCTCTCAAAACATTTCTGGCAATTAAAGAATGCTAGTAATTCACCCATTATTACGTACGATGTTGCAGAAAGAGTCAAATCTAACAATTGGAAAGGCAATAGATGAAATTTATGCCTTGTTGAAAAATTTGAACACTTAAATCACTTAAATAATCCTAGTTTATTAAACAAGAGAAATACATTGATGGTAACATGTAGCACAAAAATATTTGCTGAAATACATTGATCCAGATTCATTTTTAATGTAAATTATGACATATTTCTTTTGGCTGTCTTTTTCTTCATTTTATTGGATTTTTTAACAGTAATCTCCCCTTATCCTTAATAAGAATTAATATTCACAACATTAAATCAAAAATTAATTTATATATATATATATATATATATATATATATATATATATATATATATTGTTGTGGTAGGATCCACCTAATTTGCATAGTGGAGTACCGACCATATAAATATGGTTGGTACCAGGAAGACGAGGAGAGGAATCAAGAGATTCAATACAGTGACTCTGCCCGACTGCGACTAAGTCAACACATTCTCCAGGAACGGTCTTCCCAAGAATATACCAAAAGACTATATGTAAATATTGTGTACACTTTCTTGTTCAATACATTTTGTTCTAAGTACATTTTGTGTATATATATATATATATCCTAGTACCTTTCAAGAGGCATGGTTAGTAAATCAGGTTGTTGGATGAAGGTAAGAAGAATCGATATGACGTGTGAATTACGAGGATATGTAGGATAAATAACAGTGATGGGTTTGCAACGTTGCGTCATCACCCACAAGTCAGCGTAGACGATTTTGAATGCTGTCAAAGCTGGAAAGTTATTACTGAAAATCTCCAACCCAGATATGTCTGCAATGCTGCATTTCTGTTCTGAACTGGGTTCTTCAAATACAGAGCATGGCAGGAGGAATGAGGTTCTTACTGGAGCGGTAAAATAATCCGAACGTTTTCCCACCGTTTTTACCGATGGATTGTATACATGAGCTTCTTTTAAGAACTTGTGTACGGAATAGACTTTTGTGATGTCAACGAACACTCGTTGCCACTTTTCTAATGTCGTTGTCACTTTCGTAATGCTCGTTGTAGTAGAGACTTTGTAATCGCAGATACAACTATAGTAACGCCGTTGAACAATACTGGTATCAGACGCCTTCGAATAACACTCGAACTAATAGTACTTGCTCGATAATACTCGCTCGAATAGTAACCACTGAATAGTGATCTGTTTAGTGATCAGTATAGACAATAGTAGAGAGAAATTGGTATAGAGAATAGCGATCCGTATAATGGGGGATAGAGTAGAAATAACGATCCGAATAGTAATAGAGGATAGAATAGAAAGAGGGATCAATTAGACGTCACGCTAATTCCCATATATTTCTTTTGACATCACGAGATCTACTTATTCAAAATGGGATCGCCTGTGTTTGCTCTCTGGTGATCTGTGTTCAAACTCCAGTGTCGGCAACGACACTTTATTCTTAAATAAAAAAAAGTGAAACTAATTTTCCCTTTTTACGTAGCGGAGTAAATAATGAATCTTGAGAAATCCACATTTTTTAAAAAATCAATTCACCCCAAGCTAGGCGATTATGCCTCTACGACACAACGGGGCGTGAAAGAGAATGAAAAAGTGTTTAGAAGGAACCAGAAATTCAATCTTAAAAAGGAAAAAGAGACAAGCCTCTATTCCTGTTTCGGACAGGAGTGTAAAGCGGACGATAGGTGAATCTATCTTCTACTCTTGTGGGGAAAAATAAACGCTTTCTTGGAATATTAGCCAAAGAATTCAATATTTACATCAATCGGATTGTTCGAACAATTTCTTGAAAAACACTACTTCATCATTTTTAGATTTGAAATAAAAAAAAAAGAAATATAATGGAAACTTGATAGAAAGAGACATTTTTGCTTTTTTTTTTTTTTAATATCCGTCATTTTGAAGACCTTTTTTGCTGACCCTGTCACTTCAATTTCATTTTCGAACTGTGCCAAATGCATCAAATGCACTGAAGTCTTTACAGACACGACAAGGGCAGAACCAGTTGCATGTTTTCAAACCTCTTAATCTATTATTTGATGCGGGTTATCCGTTAAAACGGTGGAAATATTACCGCTTATATCTTTCCTGTTCGTTTAGCGTTTCGGCTGATTTTATCTCTTGCATGCAATGTATTTTTATTACGATTTCTTTTTTTATTCTGGTTAGAATTAATATGGAGACAACTAATATCTGAATTGAAAAAAGAAATCTTATTCCAAAGGGACCAAATACAATTACAAGATGTGACTTAATCCCTTGATTAAATAGCAGTGAAAATTATAAAATAATATATTTAAAAAAAAATCGAATCGTGCTTCTGATTAGATAATATTAGAATTTATAATTAAACTGAATTACTTAAAATAAAGGTAAACGGTCATATATTAAAGCTGCGGATCGATTAAAATGGATGTGCGTGCAGCATAGGGGTTCGTAACGTGGAACCGGCGAGCCGAATAAGAATTCCGGTCTATCTATCTATCTATCTATCTATCTATGTTAATGTTTAACCCAGTCTGGTCAATCCATTCTTCCTTTCACCCAACTCTTCCACACTCTTTCCTTTCTCTCTCCCGCCCTCCCTCCCTCCCTCCCTCCCTTCCTTCCTTCCTTCCTTCCTTCCTTCCTTCCTTCCTTCCTTCCTATCTATCTATCTATCTATCTATGTTAATGTTTCTATCCATCTAACCCAGTCTGGTCAATCCATTCTTCCTTTCACCCATCTCTTCCACACTCTTTCCTTCCTCTCTCCCTCCCTCCCTCTTTTCTTCCTTTCTTCCTTTCTCCCTCTGTCCATTCCTTCCTTCCTATCTATCTATCTATCTAGCTAGCTAGCTAGCTAGTTAGCTATGTTAATGTTTCTATCCATCTAACCCAGTCTGATCAATGCATTCTTCCTTCTCCCCACTCTCTTTCACACTCTTTCCTTCCTCCCTTGTTTGCTTGTTTCCTCCTTCCTATCTATCTATCTATCTATCTATCTATGTTAATGTTTATACTCAACCCAATCTGATGCATCCATTCTTCCTTCCATCCCCTCTCATCCACTCTCCCTTCCACCCTCCTTTCCACCCTCCCTTCCTTACATGTTTTCTTTCTTTCTTTCTTTCTTTCTTTCTTTCTTTCTTTCTTAATATGTTCATTCCTATCTACATATCTTTCTATGCTAATATATTTTTAACACATTCTGATCCATCCATTCTTTCTTCAACCCCCTCCTTAAAACACTCCTTCCTTCCTTCCTTCCTTCCTTCCTTCCTGTTTATCTATTCACTTTCGCCCAAATGCCCGTGGAAAATACGTGACCCCCCCCTTTTTTCTTTTGTCGGGTAAATAGTACGCCAGACTGTGAACTTGAGTGATATTCAGTCGAGGAGAAAGGCAACTCTTATTTCAAAACCGCGTCGATGGCAATAGGAAAACCGCACCATTAACTTTCAAAGGTATTAAAGAAGTAGAAACTGTGGAGAGCCACAGCTGACTAAGCTATGAAGGGATATGGCATTACACAAATATTTATGTTGTATGTCACTTATACACACATATATATATATATATATATATATATATATATATATATATATATATAAAAAAAAACACACACACACACACATATATATATATATATATATATATATATATATATATATATATATATATATATATACAAATTCATGAATTATTCATACAAAAACAAATACAAAAGGTTAATGATTTAATTGGCGAGAAACCCATCGTCGCAAACAATACAAATAATATAAAAAAACCCGAACCTGTTATGAATAAAAAAAATCCTTGTTTTTATAAATTTCTGTCGCATTAGTTCTTATTTTATTACAAGCTTTCGTCTGTTCTTACAGACATCTTCAGGTATAGAATAGATGTTGTTCTTGTTTTTTCTCTTAGTAATAAGATGACAACGAAAATATATGTATTGTTGTATCCGAAAAATGCTATTAGAAATGAGTTATTGTTTTTGGAGCGTGCAGTAGCAACGCTGAGTTTGATTTTAAATTTTACAGTTGTGCGTTCTTGTACAAATATGGTGATAAGCGAATTCTTTTTTACTGGTAAATTTTCTGTCAAAGTGGCATGAACTATATTGTTCAATAATTACAGTAATGTCGCACTTATTATCCAAAAGTTGCACTTGGATCAGTTATTTTAATTTCAATAAAGGTGCATTTAATTTACAAATTCATGAATTATTCATACAAAAACAAATACAAAGGTTAATTATTTAATTGGCGAGAAATCCATCGTCGCGAACAATTCAAATAATACACAAAAACCCCGAACCTGTTATGAATGAAAAAAATATATATATATTAATGACTTCACCCCTACATGACAAAAAAGTCACTAAGCCGCAAGGTAATATAAGAAAAAATTTCTATCAGAGAGAGAAAATAAATAAAAAAAGCAAAAATTAAGAAGAGAGAAAATAATGATTGACATTACAATTAAATTTTCGATTATTGACAGGGAAGTAAGAAGGCGGAAGACAGTTCCACAATCGAAAAGTGCGATAGAAGAAACTGTTAGCATAGAACTTACGGTTACGTCTAGCCATTTGTAAAGTGGCAACAGTTTGTTTCCTACTTGAACGCACTTTCCAGATGGCCGGAATATTGCGTTCAAGCAAATAAATGATATCATGGAAAACAAGGAAAAGAACATCAGCCTACAACAATCAATCCAAAGACTGCTCGGAGGAAAATATAGCTATATTTACATTTCCAGGCCAAAACAAACTACTAAATAAACGATCTGAACTCATCTCAAAATGCAGACACGAAAAAAAATTTTTACTTCGTTACTTAAAAATCGAAAACTGAAAAGAATAAATAAAAATAAACAAAAACAAGTAAAAGAAATGAATCCAAATAATTAAATAACTAAATAAAGTAAATAACAAACAAATTAACAAGGCACTCGCGCCAAAGTACCTGTTAGAATAGACTACCCACAAAACAATTGACTACCCACAATGCATCACTGGCGACTGCGTTTAGCATGAAACAGACTGTCGCCTCTGAGTCTTGACTTCAATGTCCACTCCGGCTTTTGAATTAGATTTTGTGTTATTTTTTTCCAGATTATATCTCCAATAATCTTGGAGGTATTGGTAATGATACTCCTGTCAGGAATGGATAATTAATTTGGCAGTTGGAGGGTAGGATTATAAATTTTGTATAATTTTGGCTGGAAGTATTTTTTTGTTTGTTTAGTTTTATGTATTTTGTGAACTCATTTGGGTTTAAGATGAAATACCATGGATTGTGTAAAAGTTTGAATGTCTTCTCAATATAATAATATATATATATATTTTATATATATATATATATATATATATATATATATATAGTGTTACAAAGTCTATGTCAAACTTTAAGAACTTTTAGATCATAAACTACAAACAAATGGTAACAAGATTGTGTTGGTGCCAATTAAAAGCTAAAGGTATCAAGTTTTCTTCTGTTGATTTAATTTTAATTTATTTAATTTAGTTTTTTTTTCTCTTTTCAAATACAGTAATGTCATTCACAAAACAAGAGAAAATATTTTGCGTCCTAGAATACGCTTAAACTGAATCATGGACACGTGTTTAGCTTAAATTCCGTACAATGTTTACCATGCAGTCACCAGACAGACAAGCGCTTCTGAAATGGCATGCCAAATTTAAATCCTTCAGATGATAGGGTTGAACAAGTTTGGCTAGGCCTTCCTGTGCAGCACCCATAAATCAGTCAGAATAGCCAGTTGAGAACTTCAGCTCCCATATATATATATATATATATATATATATATATATATATATATATATATATATATATATATATTCAAATGTAAAAGAACGAAGAGTTAAATATTTATTTATTATTTTATAAAATATTTCAGTTGCATCGTGATTCCTCACCTGATGAAACGTTAAAAAGATTCGTTTCTTTTAACGTTAATTTTTTAACGTTGAAACAAGATGTACAGTTTTGTAGTGGATATATGCATGTTCTAATGTAACACTGCATAATATATATATATATATATATATATATATATATATATATATATAGGTTATGCAGTGTTACATTAGAATATGCATATACCCACTATATATATAATGAATCCTAAAGAGCCAGGAACAACCTACCTAGGCTTCACCTAAAAGGATCTTTAGGATAATCTGGTCAGATTACCCTGAAGATCCGTTTAGGTGCTAGTCTCTTTTTTATCTGTCTACCTCTTCTTCATTTAACTATAGTGGTAACTAGGAGGTTGGTTATTGAGTTCTTTTTACGGTTTATCAACCCTTTGCAGGTTATTTAAAACCGAATATATATTTCTGATAGTAGAACGTTGCTTAACGTTTGCATGATGACCACATTCATCGCCCCCACCATCTAAGTACTGACCGAGATCGACACTGCTTAACTTCGGTGATCGAATCGCAAGTAGTACCTAGGAGGATGCCACTGGAAGGATTACTGACTCTTACGATGTCTCCATACTATTTCAACTTTCCCTTCCTCACACTAGTTATGAGGTCTTCTAACGGGCCTTTTTCTTTTCTGATAGCGATGACACCTACTTATTGTAGACTTAACCATCGCCAATTACTACACAGTTTCAAAACACATTTGTTATTATGTATACTGTTGGCATTTTCTTCATTCTTGCGATGAGGAATACCAAAAAAAAAAAAAAAAACGATCTAGTGTAAGCGTGTTCTCAGACAAAACATGAAGACATTAAAAAAACAAACAAACTGATATTTGGTTAGATTCTTGAAAGTAGCACGGGCTGAGAACTTTCAGGCAACGTCGTGTAGAGTCAAACTTGGCAGACGTTTATTCTTTTAAGTGACAGATGAACCATTTGCTCGTCATTCTTTTGATAGGCTCTGATCTACTCGAAGCTGTCGCCATTTCCTTCCCGACTGAGAATTCAGCCAACTTCTTTTGCTTTCCAGTCAGTAATCTTGTGAGCTAATAGCAACCGAGAAACACGCACATATTGCCACATAAAGGTTATCTTTACATTGGTCTGGAGTTGGTTAGCGCCAAAATAGACGCATTTCCAACAAGTCCGATTGATGGAGGCCATTTTGTTTTTTTTTGACGAACTCTCCTGCTCTGCCGTTCTTTCAATCATTCTTTAACCGTTGGCGGCTGGAAGTTTGATTTGCAGTTCTCAGCTGTAGAAAGACGGAAGCTGAAAAGAGAGAAGACGGGGAAAAAAGATGGCCGCGATGAAGGAGTGATGAAGAAAGTAGGATTTATTGATTAAATGACATCGTCTATTTCTGTGTGGACGCCACTGTTTGAGAATTGAACAGTCAAGTAGTTTCAATTACAGTTTCCTAATGATTGTTTATTTTCGATTCTATGTTCTCTCCGGCTAGAGACCCGATCTGAGTGTCAGTCCGAATATTAACTTCCATCTCAGTGCTTAGGGGCTTTATTCTCTTTATTTCCATTTCACTGAGATTACTAGAAATTCCTTCTTATATTTTTCTCTATAAGAGTTTGTCTTTTTGCCGTTCGACATTATTTCATTCTATTTTTCCTTCCTTCTTTTGTGCGTTTGTTTGTCCCTTTCTTTCTTGCTTTCTTTCTTGTATCCCCTATAATTTGATTTTAGCAAAAGCTCACCCTATCTCTCTGTCGCCCCCCTCTCTCTCTCTATATATTATATATATATATATATATATATATATATACAGTCGAATAAGTAGATATGGGTAGATATACGAGTGAGTGATCGTATACAAATACATATTAATACTCACTAGTGTAAGATAAAACAGTGCTCAATGTAAAATAACAGTGCTATTTTATGTGTATATATATATATATATATATATATATATATATATATATATATAAAATAGCATTGTTATTTTACTGTGCCAGTAATAAATAAGTTACACCAAAATTCGCTTGAGGATGAAATGGAACTAATGTCTTTAATTTAATTACAAAATTAAATTCGAAGCTTTCAGCTTCCATTTTTGAAACATTGCTAGAACTGTGTAGCAAAAAAAAAACAACATATTTTAAATCAATTTATAATATTAATGATCTGTAAATTTACATTGAGAACTATTTTGTAAAAATAAAGATATCTATAAGAACACCGGATTATATATCTTACTGTTCTTTATATATATATATATATATATATATATATATATATATATATATATATATATATATATTAAGAAATATACAAAATATCTCGCATTAATTAGACAGCTCGAGATTTTGAATTAATTCTTATTTTCAAATTGAAATGTTAATC